TATATATATATATATATATATATATATATATATATATATATCCAGTATATATTGTTATATTTCTATATTTTATTGTGCGAATGTGTTAATTATGTGTTTATGTCAATAGTTCTTGGAAATTAACATTTATTGAATAAAAAGGTATTGAAATATTATGTATTGAATAAAAATATTTATTTGCTTGTGTTTTCCCAATTTCTGTTCCGCACTTTCTTTCGCGTACATAGTTACCTCTCATTGGCTACGCTATTTTGTATCCAACCAATCAAATCTTGGACCGCTTTGGCCAGTCTCTTATATCTAGGGTCTCTAGCGCCGGACGAACACTAGTGCCATCTACTGCCGCGGCGGCGCATTGCGTTACATGCTATCTTCTTCTTCTGAAGTGAGACGAACTGGAGCGGGAGACCATCCTTGCCTCCGTCCTTGGGACGCGAAACAGTGGGGGGTGGACGCGCACGCGGATATCACTTCCCAAATAGCTTCGCGGAATGCGATTGTTCCCACTCGCGTCGCGCCCCGACCTACCATACGCGTCGTACAATGACCCCACGCTGGCCCTTTAACACGCGGCAGGGGTAGTAGCGCCGGCCGATCGAGCGTGCAGATTGATATAGTGACTCAATGGGTGCTTTCGAAATGTCTAGGTTTGGGTTGGGTTGAGTTAGTTCCACTATAGTATCGTTACATATACTATAGTGGAACTAACTCAACTTGACTCAACTCTGGGTATTTCGGAAGCACCCAATAACTTCGCTCGTAGATCTCGGAGCGATTCGAGACGAAAACCATTGGAAAGAGAAAATCACCGCGTTTCCCGTGGACGTGAAATCGTCCTTCGGTGTAATAAGGTTCAAACAGCGCAATTATAAAATTATGAAAAACACTAGTTCTTACGTTCAAGTGGACATTAATCCGCATTAAAGACCAACAGGGAACTTTGACTTGGATTTGGGATGCGTCAGTTTTGTGTTTCTGACGGGCATGCAATTTACGGATGTATTGCCCATATAGAGCCTCTGCCAAAAGTAACTGAAGATTAACCTTTTAACGGACACGCTCTGATATATCAGTGTTCGACTTAAACGTTTATCACGCCCTGATATATCAGTTCTGAGCATTTAAACGTTAAAGGGCACATTCTGAAACGTCAGTCCTACTTCTTCGTGTGCTGTAAGGTGCTGCCAATACTCGCCAACCGTAAGAACCAGCGAGGCTTACTTCATCGATGGCATAATTATTGCTACTTTAATGTGCCCCCTTTAAAGGGTCGATTGATCCAGACTATTATCCAGTAATACTATTAATTAATTCAATATATCCTATATGGCTGCCGGACATTTAATGATCCAGATACTCTGTATAGAATATGATACGGCGTTTTCCCCGGTTTGTTCACCCTTGACGAGAGCTTTACGCTCTGCGCGATCGTTAGACGCGGTCTACACAACACTGAATCTTCCTTTCACAGGAGGTGCGCGTGGCGGCGGTCGCAGCAGCAAGGTGTCGAAGCGGGCGAAGCCGCTCGACCCCGCCGAGGACGACTATTACTACGATGACGCGGATCCCGTGGACGAGAGGAACAATCCGACGAACGAGGCGCCGGCCGTACCGCCCGGATTCCTGAGCCCGTCTGTGCGAGAGTACCTCGATCTTGGTAAATCGATACCTGGTACGTAAACAAGATCATCTCGCGTAAAGTTGTCCCTTTGTGAGCCGCTTGTCGGCAATCTAGCCGATGCAACGACCCTCGCTTCTCACTCTCTCGCGTTCTTTTCATCTGTCTTCCTTCCTATCTTCCTCCTCTCTCTCTCTCTCTCTCTCTCTCTCTCTCTCTCTCTCTCTCTCTTCCCTCTCTTCCGCTTTCTCTGTGTGTATAGCTTCTGGAATCCGTCTTTACTCTCTTCCTCCCTTTCGTTTATCAACCCTCCTTTTCCCATTCCACCCCGTCACATCACCTGCACGCCTCTCTTCGTCTCTGCCCGACTTTTCTCGCTTTTTTTAATATCGAATGCACGCGACGCGTGGAAGACGGTCGATCGAACTGTATATTGCGTGCGGGGATAAAAATCAACGAACAAATCCTCGTGGATAATTTTGGCCCGTCGAAAGACTTGAGATACGGGATCAAGGAATAATATGAAAATGGGAGAAGCGAGCGATATGACGAAATAGGCGGAGAGGAGACGAGGAGGCGGTTGCGTGGGATCGACTCCGCCGAAAGCATCGCGTTTCCCGTCAAATATTTCACGCTCGACGGTGCCAGACTGCGAGAAACGCCAGGAACGCGGGGAGATACGCGTGGAATTGACCCTTTCTTTAAAACACCGTACGCAGTGCCATCCCCGTTTCACCCGGGAAGGACAAAAAAAATGTCGTCGAATCCGCGTAGAGGTATGCAATTGCGCGTAAAGCCCGCGGGATCTAATGTTCATTCATGGGATCATCATTTCCGAGAACAAGGCTGCGTACAGAGAGATCGTATCGCGACGGGAGAGGAAGACGCCATGAATCTTGATCTTTCTGCACAATGCTGACGCAAGAGTGACGAGGCATACAAGGTGTCCGCGTCGACGGTAATTTAGGGAACGGGCGTTTAGCTCGATGATTTTGAAGTGGAACTTTCTTAAGCGCAAATATCGAGATAGCTATTTAGCAATAATCAGTTGATTTTTATTACATTTGCTATTGATTTTATTTTAACAAACGATCCTAGTGATAATTGTGATAATTTAAAGACATAATCATAATCAAAATTTGGAATCATTTTATAGCATCATTTTATTCTCTTTAAGAAAAAAAAAATTTTGATCTCGGTGATCAGACATCAATAAAGAATCGGTCGAGAAACCTACGATTCCCAACTAGATATTTATTTCGGATCATGTAGCGTTATTTAACACAGAGTGATAATTAGGACTTTATTAATAACAAAGATTATTCATAATTAGGGCTCGTATTAATAGGCATTAATTATAATTTAACTGAAAATTTTGCATATAATTCTGAACAAAAATCTGAGTATCTCACTCTTAAAATAAGTTTCAAGTAACAATTGTTAATACAGACTTAGGATTTAATAACATCACCTTGTACAAACCAAATAACTGATGAATTTTTGTTATGTTTGCTATTGATTTTGCTTAACGAACGACCCTATTATTTGTGATAATTTAAAGATATAATCATGATTGAAGTTTGGAATCATTTTATAACAGCTCTCTAAGAAAAAAAATAATTCGATCTTGGTGACGAAACATCAGCAAAGGATCGGTCGAGAAATCTGTGATTGTCAACTAGATATTTATTTCATGATCAGGTTAACTCCATCAGTTACTTGGTTTGTACAAGGTGATGTTATCGAATCCTAGGTCTGCATTAACAATTGTTACTTGAAGTTTATCTCAAGTGAGATTCTCAGATTTTTGTTCAGAATTATATGCAAAATTTTCAGTTGAATTATAATTAACGACTATTAATACGAACCCTAATTATGAATAATCATTATTAATAAAGTCCTGATTATCTGCGTTAAAGGACGCTACATGATCCGACAACATCACTTTATACGGGACCCACTTACACTGGATAAACGGTTGAGGTGAACCTGGTCGGAACTATGGTTGAGGTCAACCTGGGCTGAATATCTAGCCGGATTTTTCTGTCGGCGCGTTGGTGATACGGTTAGTCGCAGAACACCCCGTATAACTATTCCCCAGAGAGTGAGCGGCCGCGTACGCACGAAGAAGAGAGTGCCGCTGATGCGAATGAAACGTCAAGTCGGAGCTTTGCCTCCCCCTCCCCTCTCTCCAGCTGTGATTATATAAGATTTGCCGGCCGCAAATGGATGGGATTTAAATCTAGACGGACGACGACGACGCGCGCGCAATACTGGCGTTCATGAACACCCTTCAACGGTAATACCACCGACAATAGACGGCGGAATGAGGAGGAGCGGAGGATGCCGGCGGAAGTATAAGGAAATACGTAGCCGCATACCTCGACGAGCAATAACTTATCTTCTATCCACTTCTTACCTTTCCCGCCTCGTTCCTGCAATCGCATAAAGCGCGGGCTCAAACCGAGAAACTCGTCGAATAGTACACGCCCGGGCGGAACCTCTCGCAATTTTACTGATATTCTGCCGCGGCTTTTCCTCACCGCCTCCTTTCAGACAGAAACAAGAAGGGACCCCACGTAACGCCCGTTCGTTCGTTCGTTCGTTCGTTCGTTCGTTGCCCGGGGCTGCTCCGTCAGTTCCCTCGCACGCACACATTCCCCTAACATTCCCCGAAAGCTCTACCACCCCCGGCGCGTGGTCGCGTCGATTTTTATGCGCCCCTCGACGCGTCACGCAAGCGCGACACGCCGGCAAGCTCTTCTCGACGTCTGTAACGCGTTGATTCTCGTTAATTGCGCGAAAGCTCCATTAATATGATTGTATTGCCAGAAACACGGTGAATATTACAAATGCAATTTCAAGCGCATATTTTATTACTTTTCAGCGGCCCTCTATTAGCCTACACACTAAGCAGGAATAAAGTTTTAACATTTCATTAACCTCTCAAGTGCGCCACCGTTCCTTTCGACTTACTTAAATTAGTATCTAACACATATCATTCTGTAACGTGAACTGTAATGTGAATTCTAATCGAGAGAACGCAAAAAGAGCACATTGTAGATCAAACTTAAGGGGATGCTGGAGTTGATGACGAACTCGAACG